GCTGAAAATGGGGTCATCGGTGGGATACTCGTACATAACGCTGTTGGCATTGAGGAAAAAGATGGAAACGTCGGCGTCGGTGCGGTTGAGCTCTTCGCGAGGCTTCCAGAGAGTTTGTGGTGCTCCTGCGGTTGCCCATAGAGCGCTGAGGAGATAACTGATTCAGACAGGATCGGATTGACGGGCGGAAAAGCACAATGGCTAGGGCGCTGGTACTCACTGGACTTTATACCCCACCTGGGCGCGCACCGTGATGGCATCATAGTAGTATGTATAGTTCTGGGTCCCATTGCCGTCGAATGCCGGCCCATAATGATATGCAGCCACCAAGTAGTCGGAGTACGGGAAGTTGGGCAACGGGTTTGTGTCATTATGAACAGTTATGTATCCGGCCCTGGTCAGGGGAGCACAACTTACGGATTTGCGGAAAAACAATCGATCGTCGTCCGGTGCATTAATGCCCAGGTGTTCTCGAGTATCGAGAAGACCGGTATCCATCGCAAATGCTGCACTGTCTCCTTCCAGACACATGCCACTCTGGAATGGGCAGGAGGCGTTGGTGGTAGTATGCAAGGCGAGGCGAGTTTGCGCGTAGATGTTGCACTGTGGGAGTCTTTCTGCACCAGGCACGTAGCAGGTCCTTGCGTAGGAAGTCGCGGTGTTAGTCTCTAGTAGCTGGGTGGTGTCAAATATGTCTAGCTGATAGGGGTCACTGGTGTTGAATCTTGCGCCGCCGGCCAAGTAGAGTCCGCAATGAGGGCTCATGATCAGGCAATGCGAGCCCGCTGGTTTGGTGACTCTCGCAGAGAGAATGGCGGCGCTACCGGTGAGCGCTAGCCAGATGATGGCCATGACGATGAAAAGGAGATTGCGAAGAAGAGAGTGCTGGGCCTTCCGGCGCCATGCCAATGAGAGAAGGGTAAACTCCCAAATAAGCGCGGCGGGCGAAGTGGTGTTCTTGAAGATGACTTGCTGCTGGTGATGGAGTGCATCTCTGGGTTTCCGAGAGGAGTGAAACTGATGCACGACGAAACTGATGATCCGCCACAGATGGCCGGCCGAGACGCTCACGAACAAGGCGAGGAAAGCTGTCAAAAGCCCAGCATTTTGGGCACTGAGGGTGATGGTTGCTCCATGGATACGACCATGCGACCAATCCGTCCAGACTCCTGTGTAGATATACTCACTGTTGTTGGAGTTCACTTCCATGATGCTTTAGCAACGTGACTGACGAGGACCGAGAGGGCTGTGCGCAAGCTGAATCCGGCGCCAGCATTGAGCCGATTTATAATACCCTTCATTGAATTGAAAAAAAGCATCTCACACATCTTCTCCCTTCACAGCCTACCCAAAAAGGCTGCCAAGCTGGGAAGGCTGAAGGGCCAGGTTACGGCATTAAACCTATGCGAGAGAGCCAAGCATCCGGTGAGGAAATGTGGAGCGACATTCTACCTAGGTAGCAACCAGTGAGGCAGCAAACTACGAAGTCTGTGGCCTGACGCCTTATGGACCACATAATCCTCTCTCTGAGCGCCAGCCTCCTGGTGATGGGTAATGCGTTTTTGAAGTCAAATCCAAGTCCATTTAAAAGCAGTGCGGGAGTCGCGAACATGCTATTTCCCACCAGACTGCTAGGAGCATGAGTAAGATAGATTCACAGATTCGAGGCTGATCAGTTATCCGGATGACATCCCTCGTATTCAAACTCGGTGGCGTGTGTAACCACAGCCAAAGAACCTGGTTGCTTTTTGTGTCTGGTCTCATACGTCCCAAACAGGCCACGTAGAGATGCCCAGACCGTCGACCCTACGACTTAGGGACGTGATGGTAAGAAGCCCGGGGATCCTTGTAAGCTGCACCTATGTGGCTTTATCACACCCCGTGATCCAGGGTTCGCCCAGTTGCTCGTGTATACTTCCTGTCCCTTAGTTGAGCTGCCGGGACTACTTGATCCTAGTCAACTGTATGAGTGCTGAGGTCTTGGCAATGAATACGAGACGCCTCCGGTTGACAGGTAAACACATGGCGAATCCGACCAGTCACATACCAGTTAGCCCTATGGAGATGGACCGCATTGTTTCACTTCCACTTACGCCGAACATAGAGCTATCCATTATAGAATAAAGATATGAAGATTCTCCTTCAAAGACATTTTGCTCAACCCCTCTTCTTTCCACGTGGTGCAGCATATCAGCGGACATCTTTCAAGTGATATTCTAACTCGGTGAGACTGTCCAGTTCTAGAGCGCAAGCGGGATGGCGGCAATGGAATCTACCGTCCAGCGCTTGGGAAGAGAGATGGGAACCGACGTGCGCAAACCACGCTGATTGGTCGATCCAAGAAATGCTCCATCCGTTTTGGAGGGCTCAAGGGTTTATCGCCGAGGCAGAACGGGCAGTACGCAGCTTTTGCTGGAGCATTCCAAAAAAGTATTAGATCGCACCAAAGCAGGTCCTCTGGCCTATCCAGATGACGCTCACAGTGATAGGGCCATTCCTGGACACCCTGGATTCATAGAACGCACTCGAAGCAGTATTCCGCATGAGCGTATTCCCCCATCTGGGATAGCCGGTGCCTATAGATTTATAAAGATGCGTCCACTGACGATGCGGCCGAAGTCTGATTCTATAAGAAGTTCCTGTAACACAGTAAATGGGCACTTACCTTTGCATCGGTATTCCACAAACACAGTTTCCATTGACAGGTTTCATCCCACATCTGTATGTAGCAGAGCTCTCGCGCGTGCAAAGGGCGTTTAACGCTTTGAGCGCCTCAAGACCAGTATCGCACCGCAACATCCCACCCAGAGGAAGAATCCGAGTCAACATGTCTCGCTCTGGCATTTCTCTCCTAGAGTAATGGAAGAATGTCTGCTCACGGATAGTCCCCGCTTGGACGGTTGACCGTCTCAGTTGAGTTTCTGCAACCGCCAAAGCCCTTCCAGGTAGAGACTTTGCTTTCGATTGTAGATGGGATGTTGTTTCAGTTGGATCTGCCGCTTATGCTCGGGGTTCCGCAAGTAACGAGTTGCTCGCTTAGCTTTACATTATCTATTATAATGTTAGCACTCTTATGTCCCTGTACTGAATATATAAACCCACTTAAGGTCCACCGAATCCCATTATCTCTGAACCTACTCTTAAGAACTCCAGTGAACTGATCAAACAAGCACATTTACCGTCTTAAGTTGCATTTGAATCCTCCACAATGAGAGCCACCGTATTCCTTGCTGTTGTTGTTGCCGTTACGGGGGTTACTGCACTCAGATGTACCCAAAGGGTTACGTACTGTGGATTGTCGTTGCTCAAGAAGGGACGTAGAACTCCTGATTCCCCAATCTAATGGGAGAGGCATGTAAGAGGTTTTGGGCAGGGAACTACTTTTAGGACATTCAAGGTGCTCTTCTAAGGGGGGGTCTGCCTACTGATGACCATCGTCTCCCTGATTCGCGCTTTATGTGCACGTCAGATGAAGACTATTTGGTTTGGAGGGACACATGCCACCCTGAACAATGCAAGGATAATGGCCAGGGAAAGGACGATACCCGTACTGGAGGGCCAGAAAACGAGTGATGGGCAAGTTGGACAACAGATGTTGGGATGTTAGGGTGCTTTCGGAAGCAGGCAATTAGGCGGTGTGACTTAGGTCTTGTTATAGGTTTTTCCCTGGTTATACAGACTTTGCCTATAACTTCGTGCAAACGCAAAGTCTTTTGACGAGGAAATGTTTAACATAATGAAATATCTCCCTGTATTGGTGGTATCTCGGAGTGGATCTTCGTCTGAAGTTAAGGAATCGACTCGTTTAGTGGAGCCTGGAAGGTAAGTCCCCGCTCAAGGAAGTACCTGTACAGATCCAGGCGCAACGTTGGTAGGCCACGACCGGAAAGTAACGTAGCTGGTTATCTCGCTGCCAAAAGGCCGCTCCGCCGTGATTGAAGCAGTCATTGACTTCATCTACAAGTATTACTACACTCTCGACGACGAGGATACTTAACCCAACCTAACCACCTTTATGGTGCCGTCTATCACGCTGCAGATACGAACCTTGTCTTCAGCTGAGAAGTAAGCCAAAGACAGGATTTGCACCTTCGTCGAGCACGTGTCAATGTTCGATGACCTCCTTGACGTTGTTCCACACACATAAGCCTGTGATACTGCTATCAACGATTTGCACGACTTTCTTCATAATATCATGGTGGATAAGCCGAACAGCATACGTATGGAGGATGTGTGCTACAGCTCTGACGCTGAGGAATCGCCGTCGCTTTAAACTGTACCCAAGAGCTTGTTTGTCAGGGCCTTGGAAGGCGTACTTGTCATGGCTGTGGGAGGTTGGTCTTGCTAAGGAAGATGAAACTATGGAAATCATCCGCAAGGATTGTCGTCCTTCCCGCTGCTGGGAGAGGGTGTCTGCTCGCTTTGGGCTCTCTCCTCTTGCCATCTTCGGCTTAGCCTCTGTCAAGGAAACAGCTTTCATCATGCTATTTGGGACACTATGAGGGTCTGCCTTTACACCTGGTTGAAACATTCTCTAGGAAACCTCATTACCCTCAGATCAACCATTGAGGAGATTCACTGCATCGATTTCTTTCCTGCTACATGGTAACTGAGTGAGACACATATTGAATCGACAAACGCTTTTGAAATGAAAGTATTCTGTTGATCGTCGGCTCAGTGCAGTCTAGCCTGGATAGGCTTGAGAAGACGACCTTTGTCTCCAAGCTCGATACCTTCAATTGACCACCGTTGACCTCAGTGAGCTGACCGTCACTCCTCCGTGTATACGACAGCTTCAACTCACTATCACCTCTCATCGTTACCTACATAATGACTAGCACTTGGGCTTGCCATATAAGCGTCCTGGTCCTTCCTTTATTAATCCATCCTCATTTCTTCAATCATCTACCAGACATCAGCTTGGAATACCTTTACCAAACAACTTACAGGAGCTTCGTGACCAAACCACATAACCGTCCATCTGCTCCCAAAATCTCAAGATGCGTCGCAAGCGTGACGAATATGATGAAGCTTTGATTGAGCGTGCACAGAAAAGGATGCTAGAGTAAGGTCACTTGCATATGCAAAGTCATGGATGCATGATCTAACAGACTCATAATATAGACTCAATCAGCTCGGCCACTTCTCTGACTTCACATTCACAGTCCAGGATGAACAGTTCTTTGTAAGCAAGATTGTGCTGTCTGCTGTTTCTCCGTACTTCAAGAACCAGTTCGAGACAGAGTGGAGAGTGAGTCCCTCAGCCTAGGAACCTATCAATCCAGTAGAATGACAGATCTAACGTTAACCAGTTCAAATCATCCGTGGATCTTGAGGAAGAACACAGCGTCGAAGCATTTTCCTGTATGATCGAGTACATCTACACCTACAGCTATGAGCAATCTATCGGGCAGCTGAGCTTCATTCCTTCTTCCCACCTGGCAAAGGTCCTTTTTGAGGTTTACTACCTCGCTGAAGATTACGAGATCCCTGGTCTCAAAGAGCAAGTGCTGGAGCACCTTCCCTCCGCTGTCAACGGCGTAAAGAGTCCACAGGGGATTTATTGTCTGGTGAGCGACCATTACATCTCTGACTCGGAATTGGGCGAGGTCTTTGTGGCGGCCGTCGCGGATAACGTCCAGGATATGGAGACCTTTGAAGACCTTGACAAAGTGAAGCTGTTCCTGGTTAAAACGCCCCGGTTCGCTGCGGACTTGATCTCTGAGCTGATTAAGAGAAGAATCTCAAATTGCGAATGTAGCAATTGACGAGCTTTGCTGACTTTCCTGCGCCAGATGACCTTCTCTTTTCTTCCAATACATGAATCAAAACGGCAGAGTTGGAACTGGGGATTTCTTGTCCTGCTATTACATATCCAACTATTGGCGGTTTTCTCCCTTTCGATTTCGCCCAGATGTTGTGCTCGCGATGTACCCATTAGGAAGACTTGACATTATGCAGACCGTGCAAATCCCATATACGCTACATGTCTTCTCCGTCAATATAACCGCTGCTAAAAGTCATGCCTGAGAGGCCAACTAGCACAAACTGCCATCACTGCACGATTGATCACAGTGATAAGTACCAATCCAGTTATCCTCTCCATAAACATCCAACCCCATCATCCACCCATTCAGCACCTGGTGCAGGTAGTCCAGATTCTGGGGCATTCCATGCGCCTTACCCTCAGCCGAGCAGGGGTAGTCCTTCGTCAACCCTCTGTTCCCATTAAGCCCGGACCCTGCCGTAAACCACCCATTGTACGAACCCAGCGCCTTGATCGCATTACCCCCCGACGCATCAAGCTGCGATTTGAGATAGTGCGTTCCCGCGTCCACGTTATCCTGAATGCTATCTGTGCACTGACCATTCGGGTAGTTTTCGCACGAGACTTGCATCAGGCCTGGTGTGGGACCCCCGGCGTTGGCATTGCAGGAAGACTCCTGCATAGCGATGACAGCGAGAATGACAGGGTTGACGCCGTACTTGGATGCGCTGTTTTGGAAGTAGCTGTCGTATTGCACGCAGGCAGAACCAATGCCGTTGTAGAAGTCTTGGAGGCTGATGGTGTAGACGTCGTCGATGGAGAGGAAGGGAGGGTTCCAGCCGTTGGTGGTGATGCCGGTGTTGAGCCAGTCTTCGGAGCTAGATTCTGCTTTTAGCAACAATGACATGAAAGGTAAAGGAGGGCATGGGGAAGGTACCCGTTGGGGCCAGTGCTTGGGGTCACATTCTCTGTTGCACCTTGCGCCTTTGGGTTTTTACCGACACCTGGGTTGGCGGACTGAGCGGTGGCTCCAATAGCGAGGGCCAGGGAAGTCAGGGTGATGCTTTTGAGGACAGCCATTATTGCCTTTGCTGATGTTCGTCTGTTCGGGAGTGCTGGAAGATGAACGTCTGCGTCAATCGACTCAGCCGGCAATGGAGCAGTTTAAATAGCTCAGATTTTCCAAGCTGATTGCTCTGCCTGCCGCAGACATGATTTTCTTCCAAAAATAATCATCAAACCAGCACGTTGAAGCGAATCGACCAGTTTCTCAAACGGGTAATTCTGCAGCCCTGGCCATCAGGGAACAGGACCAATCAAACGCAGCAACTCTTCTATGTGGCCATAAATTCGAGCTAGCCTGATAGGTGCGACACCGATTTGTTTGACCTGAATGATAGCAGTGATCTCATTGGCAAGCACTGAGCAAAGTCGTCCTAGCGTCCGTTCGGCATGTTACCTCAGCGCGTCGATCTCGGTAGATGCCTGCCAGCGTTTCGGCCAGTACCGGCAACAGACACGAATATGGAACAGTCAGATAATCTCGTCCACTTTGCGGCAGCTATGAAGCGCCAGTGTCGACCGTCGAACAAGTCTGACGTCTGGTGGCATTTGGCAAGTGATTATGTCAGCAACGCCGATCGCATCATCTCTATACCAATTTCCTTTTTAGGAAATGCATAAGGTTACATCTGAAGTTGGAGGCGGTTTTAAGTAACATCCTTATTCTAATGATCTTTATCCTAATGGAGTAAAGGGACGATATATGCTGTAGTAGTCTTTTTTCGTTTGTCATTTAGACATGGTTACAGTTAGCTTCTAGCACCCCAAGATGCCTTGATTGACTCATCCACCAATATTGGATGGTAACGGCGCATTGTTTGAAACAATTTCAACATGCTGAGATTGCTGGCTGGAGGGTTAATTGCTAAATATTGCCATCATACCTGTCCAAACTATTCTGCAAGTGCCTTACCACGACGTGAGGTTGATGTCATTGTCTTTCCTGACAGATACCCTCAAGCCACCCTCGCCTCCTTCAATAAACTGTGAAGAATAGTATAGAGTTATAAACACCAGATTTGTTACCCTTATTTCCCCAATTTAAAAAAACAAGGCTATTTTGAAGCCAATGTGGGCGTCCCCAGTGCCCCCCCGTAGACTAAACTAAGCATAACCCGTCTGCGGGCCGCCATAGCTCTTTGGTATGCCTTCTTGAGCATCCGGGGTAAAGGACATAGCAGAGATTGCTGGATTCAGGGTGTCATATCGAGTTTCGATGGAGTTCTAGAGTAACAAATTTTCTAGACTGCGAGCTCAACTTTGTGTGTATGACGAGATACTTGACCTCCCCGCGAAGGAGAAGTATTCTAGAACAACGGTTTTTCTTACACGTGCGAGGCAAGAGAAGACTGTTCTCTTGGTCTCGATGAATAATTGCTGGTAACATCGCTGTTTCTATCATTCCCGGGGTTCCTACAGTATACCAGGGAAGATAACTCTTCCACTTTCCAGCTCTCGGCAGCACTGAGTTCGGCAGTCATACTACCGACGAGAGGCACTCTGTCGGTCATTCTTCGCGCAAAAGTCGACGAAGCCTCGGCGATTCCACGAGGCGAGGGTGAGTGCAGAGGCAATAACGCAGTCCTCTAGTGTGACATGAGCTGGGTCAAGTAGCCTTGCTCTTGGTATGGGCCATTGACCCAGCAGTTTTAGGGCTAATATTCGACTTGAAGTATTGAATTTTATCGTTTGTTAATAATAAAAATGTCAATCATAACCTATTTAGGACCTACGGTTTCTTCTGTATAATTTTTTCACCGAGAATTTGCTAGCATAGACGTATGCCTTACGACAGCGGCTGTCCCCATGAACCACCAAAAAAAGGGCCAATGCCCTTTTTGAAAGGTGTCAATAAAACATCCCATGGTTCATTGTTCGCCTGTTGACGAATGCAAAGGGATTGTAACGCTATTGGTGGAAATATTGAAATTCTCCTTGCTTAGTCACAATGACTGACCACTCATGGTTTGACCTCATTGTAAAACACCATTTTTTTGTGTTTCTGCCCCTGGCCCAGAGAAATGTAACCATGGTTCGGCCGGCTTGCACACACAGCACATGAATTGAGGGAGTCGTGGGAGTTCTGAGGGAAATGCTGTTTTTGAGAACAGCCACGAATAGGGACAGTATCAAAGAGGCCCCATGAAGCAGGAACAATGAATTTGTTCTTTGGGATGCTTGTTCATGTGGCACATAGGCTACGACTCTGCGTTTCGACATTCGTCGACACCCATGGGAAAGCCTGGAAAGCGACTGAAAGACCTCAATAACTACAATTTTCCTAGCGACACAGACTGGTGGAGGTGAGCTCCACCCACAAGACTTTAGGCCCTTCTGATATCGTTATTCTTTCCACTTTCGCCAATAGCCCGTTTGAGGGACCTGATCCTTTCCCGGCACTTGACTGCGAGGTCCAAAAGTCTAGACCTCCGGGGATATGATCTTTGTCCTTTGAGTAGGTTTCACCGCACAATGATGAATCTCATGTCCTTTGTCTCTTGATGTTGAAACGCAAGCATAGTAAAAGAAACAATCAACACAAAGGCATACCAAAAATAATCCAAGCTCCAGAGCCACGCAACTTGCCTCCAACAATCGGACTCTGTGTATTGCAGAGCCAGAGTCCCACACAGAACCACTGGTCAGGGGAAGTAGCCAATGGCGTTGAAAGGGCGTACAATTCAGGTACCACCCATAGATTCTGGCCAATCCCACAACAATACCAGAGATGTCCTGTCAGTGTTTTCAATCGAACTATCCAATAGGCTACTGTCAGGCTGTCAACGAAAACACGCCCGCATGGATCTTGACCATGGCATCACCTTTGTCGGAACCCCAGTCCCATCAACTCGTCCATGCTGACGCATTCCCTGATCCATCTCCGTCGATTCTAAGGCTCTATCCAAAGATTCAACCTCCCGAACCAAGGAAAATGACACCCACCAGCGCCGTGGGTTTTCGAGAACACACATTCGACTTACAAACAGTGGGGTGGCGGGCATCGAAATTTTGTTTCCAGGATGTTATAAAAGGGCTTGAGAGGGACCCTTCTGGACTCTTCCCATTCATCCACCGCATTGCGTAACCGTGTCTATACACGCTTCCATTCATTCTTTCTTTTTGGCTTCATACTTCAGACGCTCTCTTCAAGTTATCACTACGTCGTTGCTCCAGTCAGTAACGACACTGCCATTCCTTCGGACTTCTACTACAACTATCTGAAGCACGCTTGACGCGCCATCCACTCTCTCTTCAAAATGCAGTTCACCAAGTCTCTCCTGCTGCTGGCAGCCCTCACCTCCAGCTCTCTGGCCCGTCTGCAAGGCCACGAGCGCCGTCAGTACGCCCCCTCGGCCTCCTCCACAGTCACTCCCTCTTCCTCTTCCTCCTCCGCCGGCGGCAGCTCCGCCTGGACCGGCACCCCAGCCGGAGGCTCCTACTCCACCGCTGGCTTCGGCAGCCGCACCTCCAACAGCGGCAGCGGCGAGACCTACGCCGGCAACGTCGGCAACCCATGGGGTAGCAACATCATCGAGGTCTCCGCCGACTCCGCCTCCAACTACAAGAACGTTGCCCAGATCAGCGGCCAGAACAGCGAGCCCTGGACCGTCGTCTTCTGGAACAAGATCGGCCCCGATGGCCAGATGACCGGCTGGTACGGCAACGCCGCTCTGACCCTCACCCTCAACGCCGGCGAGACCAAGTACGTCGCCTTCGACGACGACACCAACGGCGGCTTTGCGGCCGCTGCAGGCAGTATCCCCACGGACTCGAACGGCGGGTATGCGTCCACCTGGGGCGAGTTCGATTTCACCAGCGCCGGGAACGGCGGCTGGTCTGGTTTCGATGTCTCTGCCATCCAGGCGCAGAATGCGGGCATGACCGTGCAGGGTATGAAGATCTGTGATGCGCTGGGTGGCACTTGCTCTAGCATCACTC